ATAGATAGATAGATAGATAGATAGATAGATAGATAGATAGATAGATAGATAGATAGATAGATAGATAGATAGATAGATAGATAGATAGAATCTAAATATCATATGAAGACAGTGTCTATTCATGTGTGTGAACAATGCTATAGTAATTTTATTAGATTATATCTGACATATAAAGCACAGGTTTTGGTGCTTGTACTAAAAAAGAAGATAAATAAAAAAAAAGATTTTATTACAAAATGCATTAAATTTCAATGAGCTGTCAGTCTTTGAACAACATATTTTCTTTGTAACGCACATTTCATTAACAAAAATCTGAAAGTGCTACAAAACAACAAAGCATACAATAAATAGTAAAACTAGTAACAGCAACAGAACAATACACTTACACTAATACAAGCATCAACCAGAGCTGAGAAAAAGTTCCTTTTTATTTGATTATGAATTACAATCTCACAACCGTTTCAAGTAGTTCTCATTTGGAACTAAAATCACGTTTTAGTTCAACCACCATCTTTTTGGCTTTCAGCTTTTTAGAGCCAGACCACAGTTCAGCTCATGATAGTTGACTAACTTGTTACTTTACAGATAGATGAAATAGTTCATTTGAAAGTTCACTTTGAGCACCATCAATGTACCAGACTTTTATAAACGAGTTTGTTGGTTTAACATTCGTTTGATGAACAAGTCAAACATAAACCTGGTGTTAGAAAGGTGGACAGGAATGTTTAAATATCTAAAACTGATCATATTGTAATTATATTTTCAGAAATTATTGTGTTGTCACTCTCCAAAATCCTACAAAGTTAAATAAAAAGGCAGAGCTGCTAAGGAACCTGGAGTCAAAAATATGCATCAGTGAGGCAGGCTGAAGCCATTTAAACAGATTATCACACACAAATGCAGGCTTTGACAACTTACGATAGAATGGGGCAATCCAGCATGGCTTCGTCCTATTTGCACTGTTAGGAAGGAACATGTGGATAAATTATGTCTTGTCCCACATTTCATAGCTGTGAATACATGTTTATCCTGCATGTTATGTTGTGTGTGTTTTTACCAGTTTCTCCATCGGGTCTTGGACTGGGCTCTGTGAGGACCCGTAACAAGCCATCAGGTTTGTAGGAGTAGTGCTCCACCAACTGTGGTAGGAAAAAAACATGGAGACACTGTTATCAAATGTTGTTTTATAGGTTTTTCTTTAATTTCTTTGTTGCAAGTCATTTACAGAATGTTAAAGTCACCTATTGTAAATGAAGATGATTTTTGATAACATGAACATGATCAGCATGTTTTCAGACAGTATACTGTATCTGTTTGAATTCTTAGGAGGTAATAAAATTAACAGAAATATGAAATAAAATGTAATAACCTGCCACAGGGTGTCAAATTTCTTCCCGTCTGGGATGGAGATCTTGCCGTGTCTGTCTCTGTCGATGCGATAGTGCATCACTTGACCTTCGTGTAATAAACACAGAGCGTATGATCCGTTCTGATCTCTCTGTCGGATCCTGTGTACAAGACAAGAAGAAGAAACAAAAAAAGAGGTCAACTGAAATCAAAGCCTTTTCTTGACGTTTCTTCTTATTTCGGTTGTTCCTTCTTCAGGGGTCACCACAGGGGTCCTCCTCCTCCATCTCACTCTGTCCTCTTCTTCTTCTTCCAACTACATTCCATTTCTTCTCTAACTGCATCTATATATCTCCTCTTCGGGGTCAGTGTACATACAAGCAGTTTGTTTATTCAATTATTAAACCATTTTAAATTATTAAAAAAAAACTATGAGTTGATCAATGACTATTGATTAAATAAATTTTCTCATTATGCCACCTATAAGCACTAATTAATGAAACAACACTTATTATATTAAATCACACAATTAAACCAACTCAGCTAAACGAGAGCTTTTTGGGAATACAGACTAATTATAAAAAGATGACTAGACCAGAACATTATAAGCATAGAACAAGATACAAAACTTTGTTTTGTTTTGATTCGTTTTGTTTTTTTTCCCCACATTCTTTTCTACCGTGTGAAAGGAGACATGCTCCTCTGGGCTGAAGGATAACAAGGGAGGATAGTTTAATATTTTGGTCTGAGGGGCCTTTTAGAAAAAGGGCATAATGTAACCAGGACTTCAGTCTCTTGTCAGGATGGAAACAGAGTTTGACCAAGCCAAAGGTCAAACAGGAATAAGACGAAGTGAGGTGAAATGGGCGTATTTACTACACTAACCTTAAATTTTTTTTAAATAAAACTATGTAACAGATTTTTTAATGGAGTTTGGTTTGAATATTGTTTTGAGTAATTTTAGATAAAATAACCGTCTTTTATGCTTCTTGTTTGTGTTTTTACGTTGTCTATTATTCACAGACATATAGGCATATTAAAGATGACTGATGTTAAGCCTTTAAAGTTCATGACAACTCTAATTTATAAATAAGGGCTGTAAATTAACTAGTTATGGTGCTACAAAGTTTGCTGGTTTTGTAGCAAAGAAAATGTTTGTTACAATCTCTAAAACATGCATATCATCTGACAAAAGAAAGCACTGAACGTTTGTTCGATTCTACTGAACGGTTTTATACAGGGGTTTGGGTTAAAAATGTTTTTGAGGCCCCTCTTCACTTGGAAACGTTATTTAGCCATTAAAAAAAATTTAAAAAGGTGAGGGGAGGAGGTGGAAACATGACAAAATTATTTGACTTGTTATTACCGATCGAGAGTAAATTCATCTCCTTAATCAAATAAAATCAGATTTTTCCTTTTATCTCAGTTTTTCCTTCTAAAAAAATATGGGTTTAATTGTTATTTTAAATGTCAAATGAAAATTACTTTTCAATAGCCCGGAGGGTCAAGGGTGCCTGCAGGATTTTATTGGAGTGTGCGCACAAACCTATCTACCTGACCCACACAAATACAGGCCACATCAGGGGCGGAGCCAGGGGTGGCCATGGCCACCACAGACAAAACTTTGGCCACCCTGCTGTACACACACCTTCCACAGTGAAACAACCTTTAGAGGTGTAATAATCCTCCTGAACAGTTGGTGGCGGTGTTTAACAGTTTGAAACATCACCAAGCTCTATCACTGAAGAAGAGTACTGAAAAGGAAGTGATGGTTTTCTTTATATACATATATTTCTTTATATATTCTGTAAATAGACTTTCTTTATATGCCTATGTAATCTGACTAATTGTGTCAGCTTTTGGACTTATGGTGACAAAAGTTTTTTTTTTTTTTGTCATTTTATGATGTGAAGGCTGCATGATCTGTGTTTATTATGAGTCGACCTATTACTAAATCAGAAAAAGTGAAACACACTTCTAAATTCACTGTTGGTGGTTATAAGTATTGCACCTGTTCATGGGGTAAATTATTAATATTAGTTTTAAACATGCAGCTGAGGGTCATCGTTATTTGGCAAAATGATGTTACAATAAAAAAAAAATCAATAAACATAAAAGTAAAAAGCACCCCTAAAGTCGTTGGATATGATAAAGTCACATTAATTAACCTTATCTCAGCTGTAGCAGTGAGTTTAACACAGGATGATGGAACTAGTTTAATGAATAATTTGTCACTGAAACAATTATTATTATTTATGTAGGAAAGAGTATGTTTAAAAACTTGGTAAAATACACCAGAATGCAGGAAATCGCATCTACTTTGTTCAAAATTTTCTGGGGGAGGACCCCCTGACCCCCCAATAGTCTGTCCCCCCACTTTTAAAAAGGTTTTGCACCCATGTTTATAAGGTAGTCACTGCCTGTATTAGGAAATGACCAAAGCACAAAGATCTGCAGAAACTTTCAAGTAAAAAATGTAATGTTCCTGGCCACCCCTGTGTGAGTGGTGGTCCCAGTCTGGCCACCCCTGAGAAAAACGTCTGGCTCCACCACTGATGCACACACATTTGTCCCGCTTTTGACTCGTCACATTACGAAATGTCAAAGAAAGAAAAAAAAAGTGACAAGCTATTTAGTGGCTGCAGTTTGCAACATTACGTCCTTATTTTGTCTGCATCCTTTGCAGGAAGAAAAGAAAGAAAGAAAGAAAGAATGCAAGAAAGAAAGAAAGAAAGAAAGAAAGAGCAGATCAGTCACAACAAGCTGCAGCCACTGCATTAAAACTAATTTTAAATAAAAGTAGGGCAAGAATATGGATTTGATTTATGCAGATTGTAGTGGAAACTGTCAAAATGCAGAAAAAAATACACTGATAAAAGGGTGAGGTCAGTGAAAGGTGATATTCAGAGAGTTATAGTTCCTTTTTTTTTTTGAAGGGAACAAGACGTGGAGCAACAAGAAACCGTCAGCTCATATTGTCATAGTTTTAGATGCATCTCAGTAATCCAGGTAAAAAAATCAAAAAGAAAAAAATTGTATAGGTCTTCTGGACGGGTTCTTCTCTAATGAAACGTTTCGTCTCTCCTCCAAGAGACTTCTTCAGTCTGAGAGTTTCAGGCAAAATTATTTATTTTAAAATTTTGCCTGAAACTCTCAGACTGAAGAAGTCTCTTGGAGGAGAGACGAAACGTTTCATTAGAGAAGAACCCGTCCAGAACACCTATACAATTTTTTTCTTTTTGGTCATAGTTTTAGCTGAAATAACAACAGTACATATATTTATTACTACACCAAACACCGGAGTTATTAATTATGTAGGGGTGTGTGTACCGGTACCTCTTGTATAAGTGTGGTTGTGTGTACATGCTTTGCGTGCGTGCGTACGTGTGTGTGTTTTAGTGGATCAAACCTTCAAGCACATTGTCAGAACAATCAGAACCATCTTTGAAATCGAGAACAAATAAAACCACCAAATGAGCTTTTCTAGGAGATTGCCTACATAATGTTTACACTCAGTTTCTCTAAAAACCATCATCATCTTTTCCACATTCACGCTTCACTGGCAGCACCTGTTGTTCTCGAGTCCTTCACAATGCATTACGTTTGCATCACATAATAATAATAATAATAATATTAAAGGATTGTTGAGATTTTTACTTTTTTTGAACATTTTCTGGGCTAGTTTAAATACAATTTGTGGCTAGTTTTAAGTTCTAAGACAGTGCCAAAATATTTCATTAAAAATATCAACGCTCATATTTAAAATATTAATAGTTTAATTTAAAGAATTTATCAAAGCATAAAAACATTTAGTTTTTTTATCAGGCTACTTGAAATGTTTTTTTTGTTGTATTCTGCAACTTTATCAGTATTTATGTCAGTGTACTTAAGTTTTTTAATCTACACAATCTTTCTGATTTAGTTTTTTATGAGCTTTTCAAACAGCTAATCCAATTTTAGTTTTTGTCTCTTTTAACTCTTAAAAGCCAACCGTTCGACTAATTCTCCATGTTTTAATTTATTTTTATTTCCTTTTATCATACCTCCATGATCAAACCACTGAGATCAAAACAAGATATGATTTAATCTTTATAACTACTACAGACCGGAATTTTATTTTTGCTTTAAACCACGTATTTGTTATTAATTTGCATCATACCTAAATTTGTTTTGGGTTTTTCTATTTGTGCATAGTTTACATGGTGTTTAATTCCACCTGCTGCCACACAGTGTGTGAGCTGTGAGGATTGGTCACTTGATTCAACTATTTTCATAGCTCAGAAAGTGAAAAAAAAACAAAAAAAAAACAGCCGAGACTTTAAAAATAAACCTCAGTTACAGGAACTAAACAGAAACTCCCTTTTATTTTAAAATATAAAACACTGCATTTGTATTGCTTGGAACGGCATTGTTTAATATTTTAAAATGAGCTGCTATATTAATTATGTTTAGCTATATTGTTGTGCTGTTCATGAAATTGAAACAGTTTATTTGCAAAAAGCAAAGAAAGTCTTAAATGGTGTTGCAAAGTTAAAGATATTACCTACGAGACCACGTTACAATAAAAAAGAAATCTTCACTAAACACTTGATGAAAAAGAGACAACTTGCTGACTTTCTTCCTCTTGTTTGGCTACTTCAGGAAGTCCCTTGCAAACTGTCAGAGCGGAAACCACAGCATGTGTTTCTGTGCATCTCTTCTGATTGTTCAGCCGAGACCACTGTCCCTCAACCGAAGCTTCAAGTTCTCCAAGCATACTTTACACACAGCTAGATTTGCCAAAGCAGCCAATGTGTTGAAATGGGGTTTCTTTTCTCAATCAAATACAAATATTTAAAAAGGTAAATCATGTCCTGATGCATCTCAGTAATCCAGGTAGAAAAAAAATCAAAAAAAAAAAAAAAGTAGGTCCTCTGGGTGGGTTATTCTTTAGTGAAACATTTTGTCTCTCCTCCAAGAGTCAGCGTAAGGAGGACTGTGATCAGTTATACATTGGGGAAACAAAACAGCCACTGTTCAAAAGAATGAGCCAGCACAGACGAGCTACTTCGTCGGGTCAGGACTCTACAGTTTACACTCATCTACAGGCCAGGACTCTACAGTTTACACTCATCTACAGGCCAGGACTCTGCAGTTTACACTCATCTACAGGCCAGCGGTC